ATTCCCTGGCCAAGCACTGGTCTCCCCTCACCACTCCAATCCCATTCTCGGTGAGGAACTTCATTACTAGATGATAAGCTGAGGGTATTGCCTTGATGGCGTTGAGGGATTGTCTCCCCAATAGGACGTTGTAGGTAGAGGGCGCGTCCACTACCAGAAAATGGATGGTGGTTGTAGCTTGGCTGGGCTAGTTTCCTGTAGTAAGCACAAGTTGGATAGATCCAACTAGCAGGACTCTTTCACTTGAGAAACCCAAGAGATGGGTTTTTACGGGCTCGAGCATCGACCTCCCTATGCCGAGCTGATCAAAGGCCGATAAGAAAATGATGTTCGCCGAGCTTCCATTATCAATGAGCACCCGATGTACTGCTTTGTTCGCGATGATTGCCTTAATGACCAGGAGGTCATCATGTGGGTGCTGGCATCCCTCAAGGTCTGCATCAGAAAAGCTAATCTCTAGATTCCGACGGGGTGCCTTACTGACAACTTGGATTTCGATGGAGTCGTCTGATCGGGCTCTTTTGGCGTGTGCCTTTCTCACCGAGCTGGATTTGCCGCCTCCTACAAATCCCCTCGAGATGACCCGAATTTCACCGAGAGCTTCTTGCTGCTATTAAGGGGGCACCGTGACAGCTCGGGCTTCCCACCCTTGATTGTTCGATGCTCTCCCATCCCCCACTACGTAGTGGCGTAGGTGTCCTCTCTAGATTAAGTATTCGTTTTTCTTTTTGAGCTAGATGCAGTCATTTGTCTCATGACTCGTGTCTTTGTGGTATTCATAGAATTTAGTGGTGTCTCACCTATTGAGGTCGAACTTCATTCGTGGCGGCCATCGGATGAACCTTTCGTTCTAGACCCCATGGAGGACCTGAGTGATCGAGGTGATGAGGGGTGGAAGTAGCGCTAGGGAGAATCGCGGCTGTAACTCCTACGGAAGGGGTCCTAGGCGATCTCGGACGTTGCCCCTCCTTTTAGGAGAAGGCTCCCTTCCTCTTCTCAGGGATCGATCTCTTTTCAGGAACTGATCGCGCCTTTTCTCTTTCTTGGGACTGCGGTCCCTTCTCTTCTTGTCTTCTTCTATCATTGCCGAGCTTCCCTTTAGGTGGAGGGCCTCTTCACCATTGATGTACTTCTCGGCTTTTGCCAATACCTCGGCCATGGTGGCCTGTGGGTTTTTTGCGATTGAGAAGAGTAGGTCATTGGATAGTACTCCAAGTCCCGACATAAAGGTGGTCAGTGTGAATTTGTCGTCCACATTTTCCACCTTTAGAGATTCCTAGTTGAAGCACTGCTCGTAGCTGTTGAGGAGGCTCAGTAGGTGGTAGGACGGTTTTCTGTATGTCCTTGCTCCGATGAAGCGTGACACAAATTGTATTGACAATTCCCTGAAGGAGGAGATTGATGTCGGCTATAGCCGGTTGAACCAGGCTATTACCGACCCCTTCAAGGTGATGGCGAAAGCTCGGCATCGAATCGGGTCTGGATACCCTTGGAGTTCCATCTGATTCTTGTAAAAATTTAGATGGTCAATTGGATCTTTGGTCCCGTCGAACGCCTCTATTGACAGCATCTGAAACTTTTGGGGGAGAGGAAAATGAAGGACCTCAAAAGGGAATGACGACTTGGTTTGTTGGACCAAAGTGTCCATGGTATCCGGGGCCCTTCCTTTAACCACCTCTTTTACGTCACCTAACTCCCGTTGGAGCTCACAGATTTTTTGCTCCCAGGCGTGGTCGTGTGCCTCCAGCGAGGGATGGGATTTATCTTGTTGGAAGGCTGCTCTAGCCCGGCTGTGGGCTTCATCTTCGTCTCGCTCTTTGGAGTGTCTCCTCTGGTGGTTTGCTCTAGAATGGCTGCGCTCATGGAGCTCTGTGACTCCATTTGGTAGGGCTTAGCGCTCCTGATGAGGGGCGTCGTGCTCTGCCGGAAGTGGAGGGGCTCTTGTCGAGCTGGCGGGAAATGAGGCAGCTGATGTGTTTATATCCACTCCATCATCTCTTGGTTCTGCTTTATCAGTTACATCGTAGTTTGGTGATAGATGTCTAGTTTACCAAGTGGAGGGAGGTTCACTGCTAGGGGATGGTCTTCGGCATTTACCTCATGGACCGGGAAATCCTGAGGTAAGTTTTTGCGAGCTTGAGGGCTGGCGGGAGCTTTACTCATATTCCGAGTCGAAACCATCAAGTAGATAAAAAAAAATAAGAATTCGAGTAGGAAAACGATGACAACGTTCCCACAGACGGCGCTAACTGATGGAGTCTTGGAAATCACAACCCAAGCCCAACGTAGGTAAAGTTATGGGGTTTGGTGTCAGAACAAGTTTAGTTTGGTGGATTGTCTGATCAACAAGGAAAAGAAGAAGATAAGTGGTTCACCTCAGCCGATAAATCGAGGGTACGTCTACTGTAATGGAGTCTCTTGCTCCTTAATACTATATATTAAAGCTCCAATGTACACAGGCGGGACTCAGGTGCTGGGCCTTTACAGGAGTTGGTGTTTTGCTTATAGAATGGACTCGGTTTCTCTATGTTCTCTCTTGGGGATCCCCTTTTTTGTAGGGTACTGTTCTATTTATATATGGGTCGTCTCTCTTTGTAGTTTCTGGCGGTTTCTTTTACCTTTTATTGATCCTGTGGGGATCTCCTATCATTGGCTTGCAAAAGCCTTTTCCAGCCGGCACCATTGCGCCCACGATCTCTAGGGCGTTATGCTCCACCTTCTTCTGTCCACTGGAGGATATAGCCATCATAGGTTTCAGAGATGGTGCCCCTGTCCTCTGGACGCGTGGCACGACGGGACGACTCCGAGGCAGAGATTTGATTTCTTTTCTTCAGACTGTTTTTTAGCTGGTACCAGATTGGGCCGGGTTTGGACTACTGCCCCCTCGAATGCCCGCCGGGGCACGTCCTTTCAGCTCTCTGTCTCGGGCTAATAGGATGCTCTCCTGGTTGGGCCAATGGCCTTTCCTCCTGTTCCATATGGATTTTTGGGCTTCGGGCTTGTTGACGGCCCATGCCCAGAATTTTGCCCTTATCAGTAACTAACTACAATTAACCCCATTTTTTTCTTTTAAAAGACTATTAATCTATTTTCTGTTGTGCAAAGATATGTATAGGGTGTCTACCGTAAAACATTTTTCCAAATCTGCACTTGGTGATGCCCTCCATTAATGAGCCCTTGAATTAAAAAATAATTTAAAAAGTTCCCAGCCAATCCCAAAATTCATGTACAACAATGGAGGAAATAATAGGGATTAGTCAGAAATACTTGGCGGGAAAAGCTTGAAAATTTGTAGGTTCTCTAGATTTCTGAATATGAAATCTAAAGATTAACTTTGAAAAATACTATACAACTCAAATGAAATTCAAAAAATGCAACTTTTTTTTTTTAGTAAAAAAAAGAGTGGGGATAAAAGAGAACGTCTAGAGACCACCCCAATAGGCCCCCACTGGTGTGATTGTAAAGTTCCTGACCATGCCCTTTACTCTTCTTAGAAATGAACCAAGCTAGTTTAATATAACGATCAACCATCGAGCCCCAATGTAAACTTTAAAGCTCGAACCTCCAATCTTAATGTGAGAAATTCAGCTAGTATCCCACTGGATCACCCCACTCGATAATAAAAATGCAACCTAAAAACATATGACCTTTTAGATGAGTGTTAGATGAATAGATATTATCAATTTTAGTGCGTTTCACTAACAAAGTTAATGAGACCTATTCATCTAAAGAATGAATACTTTTTTGTTGCAATTTTTTGATTTTATTTGAATTATATAGCATTACCTAGATTGTTTTGAGAGAAAAAGAGAATATATCGAAAAGACGATCAGCCTCTTACATGTGCATATTCATATTCAAGTACTTGGTTTCTTACCTAAACTAGCTTTTACCTTCTTTTTTTGGTTGATAATAACTAGCTTTTACCTTTGGCATTCTTAAATCCTTCCTCTTTCAATTATCCCTAGAACAAAGCATCAGTCTTTTGAATATGACACAAGTCAGACAAAAATGTAGCATACATGGACTAGAAAAGATATGTACAAATTTTTTCTTGTCCTAATACCTTTCCCTTTTCTACTGCAACTACGTAGTGTAGGTACCCAATCAACTGTTGGAGAAAAGAGAAACACAAAATTATATGCTGCAACATTTACATAAACAAGAAGCACCGACTTCTGAATTATAAATGAACTTGATAGTTTGATTGCATGTAACTACTATTTCCTACGCACACTTACTATTTCTCTCTCCCTCCTTGCTTTAGGTCCCAGAATCAGTAGTATCCTGCAAACCTTCACACAATGCCTTTTTTCAGATTTGCTTAGGTCCTCAACCTGGCTGCTATTAACTTCCTCGTTAATAGCCTTGGCCTCCTTAACTGCAGTTTCTTCAATAGTTCTTCAGTGCTTGAAGTGTTCATATCGGGTTCCTGCTCGCTGACGTATAATCCACAGAGCACCAAATTTAACAGTGCCACATTTATGTTTAAGATTCAACAGACAAAATACATTATTTCCGGCATCTTGGCTCATCAAAATGGCTTTCATGCTATTATGAATTGCAAAAATGAAACTACGGTTTCTTTTGAAACCTCAATGAATGCTAAAAAGATTATTCACACATCAAGCCGACAATTTGGAAATTGGAACAAAAGGGTGCATGGGACAGAGTGACGTCAAATTATTTCCAAGTGGCTTCAAACGCATTCACCTAAAAGACAGAAATAATAAAGGCAAGATAGGCCAAGGGCTACCACTGCCTCACTCCACAACTCTTGATAAGTGATTTCTAAAAAACCACCTCAATTAACTAGAATAGGTTGTTAGTTCCTTCCTTCAATCCTAATACTGGGCACAGCTAAACATTTTTTCACACAGGTCTTTCTAAATTATATATATATTCCAAACAAAGTTATGGCCAAAGTAGCCAGAAGGAGGAGATAGAAGCTTTGTATAAATACAATGTACTCACAAGTCACTGTAATATCGTCTACACATTTAAAATACTAAAGTTATATCCAATGCAGAAGAAAGCTGGTTCAAATCATAAAGAATGCATTTTGCTTCATCAAATATGTTTCCGTCTTCAGCATCACCAGGCTGATTCCTGAAGAAATGCTTAATTATAACAGGTAAGAAGTTCAAATTCTTCTCCACTTCAACCTGAAAATGTAAAACAAACTTCAAAATATATTAAGGTGAGATCCTAAATCTGGTCATATATTTCATATTAGCACAGCCAACTTAAAAAAATTAGGTATCACCTTCATCTCTGAGGCATCAGACAAGCACATTTCCATTTCTATTCTCCATCGACTTTAAAGCATCAGAGATGTCCCAAAAAAGGCTCCAATTCATTTGCAGCTTACCTTCATATCCCACTCTTTTTATTTGTGTTATGATCTTCCATGGAGCTGAAATTAGAATATGGCACTGTATTATTCAAAGAAAGCCCACCACTTGAATTAATTGTGTTTATTCCAACAGAGACACTTTCGCCCAGCAGAAACAAGACTCTTACAATGTCCTTTTTGCACTGCATAACTCCCATGTCCACAAAGATGCTATCAGGACTTAAAAACTCTGAATTCTTATTTACCAAGCTCACAATCACCAGAGGGTCCCCGATTGTACTGAATGCTTCCGCAAGCACATTTACATTTACATCAACATAATTATGCTTCCTGTTTCTCCAAAGAACATCATAAAAATCCCTTGGCAGCAGACGAACAATATCATCTCTCCACAGCAAATCAACAAGTTTATCACCGTAATTTCCAGAGTTCACACAAAGTAAACAAAATATAATAAACAGCCTCAAAACCAGAAGAGGATAGTAATCAATGAATTTGATGTTTGATTTTTCTAACCATCCGGCTGTTTCTTGATCATTGTAAAGAAAATGCTCAACCATGTGGGCCAACAAATCAAAAACATCTTCCAGAGGTGACTGTATGTCAGTTACCAAACTTGCACTTGGCTTGGCAAATGACAGCTCATAGACTAGCCATTCAACAGCCGAAGATTTTGTAGTGAAAAAGAATCCCCGGAAGGAAGAAACCCAAATCAGGAGACGCGCAAGAAGATATAAAAAGCAAATAGGCAATATATAGTCATATTGTCTGCTACAGTTGGCATTATATGTATCTCCCAGTGCTTGGTGGAAATGATAAACCAAAGACACCTCCGTTGAAGCTTCATCAAAATAACTAGACTCAGACCCCTGTAAAACTTTTGATACAACATTCCCATCGAGGCTCCCAATGAATGTACTCCATGATTCATTTCTAGAAAATCTTTTTGAAATATTGGCATATAGATCAGCAGTAGGTTTACAAGACCCAAGCCAAATCATTATCACCCTTCCGATTTGCCCATAGGTCAGCTCACCTTTCAAACCAATGAATTGAAGAATAATTTCTTCAAGTAAATTCCTGGAACGATCAGTCTCCCTCAGAGATATCATATTCTCTGTCAATGATTTTTGCCAATCTAAAGGAAACACAATATGGAAGTAGTCTATGCTTAGTTCAAAAAAGTTTTGCAGCATCATAGTTTCATGGTTTTCACAAGTGAGGCACTTGGACTCCATAAGAAATTTGGTAACCTCAAAAATATGAATGAGACGTGCTTTGGCAAAACAGAGACAAGGAATTTTCCATTGAAAACTTATATAGGGCTTTGAGAGTTTCCAAAACCTCTTTCCCGACAGAAAGTAATTCAGTACGCCAATGACTCCGAGCTGCGGCAGCAAATTTGTCAGCATCAGCCAACACCAATTTTCTACTCTTCTGAAGAAATCGGTCATTAATGTTTCCTTTGTTGTTTAGTTGGTCTCCACAAGTGAAGTGTAAGGGTTCTTGTTGAATCAAATTTCCATATCTTCCTTTAATTTCTCTTCATCTCGAGGCTTAAAAACTTCAAAGCGGGACTCAATCATCTCTTGGTGAATATTTCTTTATAGTATTGTTTCTATTTTTGTTTGTTAAACCATGGAAAAGAGTTGGTATAGTTATTGGTTAAAATTCAGTTGTAGGTATTGTTTTATTTTGGCTTATGAATATTAGTTATTGGGGTTGTTGCTAGTTAAGAATTCTCATGTAATTAATGGTTTCGGAGTGAACCGGTACAAACTAAGTTGTACCGGTTCAAGTTTGTTACGCTCCTGATAAACCGGTATGAGTTGTATCGATAAAAACATGATTTTTTTCTCTGTATTGCCATGGAACTTCTAATTCGTCATCTGCTCAGTTCAACACCTCCCAAAACATCTGAATGAGTTCAAATCAATCCTCTTTGATTTTATTTTGCCTGCAAATACATAACTAAAACCAAGGATTTTTTTACATTATAGTAATGGGGTAGGGGATTGGAAAAATGTTATATTAAACATGACTACTCATTCATGCATGTGCATACATAATATAAGTATTTACAAATAATACTTATGTGTCTTGTGACGATATATATTAGGTGCGGAGGAGACAATGTCGACGTCGGTTCCGTCTGCGGTTTTTACAGGGGGTTGATTTTGGGTTTAGAGTTGAACTCAAGGTGAGTGTATTGATTCATAATGATTGAAAACGTGATTGGTTGTTTATTAGCTATACTTATGTGTAAATAGTTAGGATGTGATTCGTGAATTGATGATTGGTTATGAGTTCAAGTATTGGTTATGATTGTGATGTGTTTTTCAATATTAATGGTTGCTAAGACTCCCAGGTGTAAGCGGGTAGCGATGTGATTGCCTAAACTCTCGAACAAAAATTGGTTGTCGTTATTTTTCGCAGAGACTTCTAGGAGATATTGGATAGTCAAATATTGATTTACATTTTATGATGTGAGATTTGTTTATAACTATTTTGTGTTTATGTATGTTCTTTCAATATGTCTCGAATATTCCCACTAAGTGTGTGGTTAGCTTACCCCTAATAGATGTTTGTTTTTAGGTGTTTGGAATAGAAAGCGGTCCATTGAGCAGTCCAACTTGGCGTATAAGGGGTCAGTGTTAGTTGTACATTATGTCATGTATCATATTTTACATAGCTTATTAGCATGTTTTGAGGATATAGCACTACAAGAACTTTGGGTTTTTGCATCACTTTTTTTGTGACAGTACATTTACCGTGGCAAAATTATTTTTTTTGCGACTGCTACTANATTCCTGACTCACTCGGGTTGGAGTTCAGTGGTGGAGGCCATACAGTTCGAGAGAGCCCTTGTTTTGCTGACCTTTTTAGCAGATCAAGGGTTGAATGCTCGGGTTCTGGAGGAAAAGAAGATGGCGTATANATTTATTTGCAATGGTAAACCATTGTCGTGGCAACAAATAAATAAAATTTTATTTTTTGCAACATGAGTTTTTTCCGTCGCAAATATTTTTGCTTGTGTTACATTGAGAATTTGTTGTGATAATTAGTATATATAATACGGCGTTGTTTTGTGAGTCTATTTTTAAAATAATATTATTTTGTGGGTCTGTTGTTAGTTCGAAACGCCACTGTTTAAATAATTTTTTTGGGTAAAATTTTTTCACTACAAATAAAAATGTGGAATTCTCCGTCTTCACAAAAGTAAAACCCTCTCGATCTCGCCCACGTACAGATCCAAACTTCTGTTCACCTTCTTCATTGTTCACATCTCGAAACCGTCCCCTACCTACTCTCTCTCTCTCGCTCCTCTCTCAAACCTCTATTGAAAGCTTATGGGTCTCAGTTCGTGTGTGCAAGAGCAGTNTTTGGTGATGATTAAGGAGGAAGGAAAAATATATCGGGAGAATGTCAAAGAGATGAGAGATTTGTTTGTCAACAAGGATAGGCAAGACAGATACGTGGACAACTTGTTGGATTATCTTCAAAGTCACAGAAGGCTTAAAGGAAAGACCAAGCAAATGGAGGAGAGAGAAAATAACTAGGGTTCTTTTCCGAGGGACANAGCAGTGGATTTAGAAAAGCAGCGATGATGAAGATGAGACCGGCTTCTTCGTCCTCAACACACCACCTGCTCTTGTTGCCTATGAATGAGCACCATTAACGTTAATGGTAGCTCTCAACTGTAATAATTTCTAGGAAAATTNAAAATAAGAGGTATTTTTATTGAGTAACGTTATTTAAATTTAATTTATTAATTTGATAATGTGATTTTATTATAATCATAAATTAACATCAAATTCTAATATTTGATGAAATTAATAATTAATATAATAATTGAAGTGAATTAGANGATTCATAGGTATTGCCGAAAGAGTCATTCATAGGCAAGACTTCAGTTGAGAGCTGCTATTAACGTCAAAGAGTCTTGAATGAGCACATAGGATTGCGATTCAAGAAGCAGAGCAACCCATTGCCGAAATTTTTGTGAGTTAAGATGTTTCTATCAATTGATTCAACGTTAGGGCTTGGAAATAGTGAAGATGCTTCTGTACATATTAGGGGTTTTGCAAGTGATGTTTTTCTGTCTAATGTTTGGAGCTCTGTTTTGTGGAATCACTGTGTATAGTGTAAACCCATTAAAACGACGTCATTTGGTGGGTCTGTTTTTGAGAAAAACATTTTATTGTGTAAACTTAATAAAACAGCATCGTTCTTGACTAACACAACACGGTGATGTTTTCTCGTAACAATAGAGGAGCTGCACTCCTCACGATTTCTCCCCTGTATTCACACGTCTCCCACACTATGATTATCATTTTTTTCTTTAGCTTATCCACTCTCCTCTCTTCCTGTCTCTCTTTGTTAAAAATTGAGTAAACCCTAGGTCTCCAAATTGTTGTTGCCACTACCGTTTACTAGAGTCACGACAGCACCTTTTTATCTCTTTTCCATGCATCAATCTTCCATTGTGGTCATCATACTTTCTGTATTGTAGCAGATTCCAATCGTCCCTCATCATTTTTCAGGTATGTTTTCTTCATCCTTTTTATTGATAGCTCTATATGGGTTATATAATTGTTCTCATATTTAATTGACTTATTCGTCAATTCAATTTGGGCAATAACGGTTTCGCAGGCTCTACCACTCGAAACATAGTTCATTGCCATGAGGGTAATATGAAGAGGTAGATTTTAAGTTTTCAACTAAAGAAACAAGAAAACTTATATATGAATATATAATAGAATTATGCAGACCTTTTTCTTTCTCTCCATTTTCATAATTTTCCAGAGTCCAGACCAGTATTTATATCCTTTGCTTTTTTTTTTTTCCTGTGGCATGGATGAAAAAGCTGGGAAGAGGGAAAGTAATTTCTTGCTTCCTAGCTACTTGTTGGATATTTATTTACCAAAATGATGATTGACAGTTCTAATTACTGATGTTATTGTAATTGGTGATGATGGGTTTTACCATTTGCTTTGCATCATTGCATGTTCCTACAAAGATGCAGGATTGTTGCTGTTTATGGTGGAAATAACAGCATGTTATAGATGAAGTGAAAGCCTCTGTGTGTGTGTGTGTTTTGTGTACTTGCTTATTGGTTACTAATTCAAGAATAAGTCGTTTATTTATTAGTTGCAATGGGGAAATGATATTTCATGAAACTTATTTCTACTCTCAAATTAATCATAGATTTGGGAAATCTATTATCAATCTAATCGGATATATCTTCTCTTATAGCTTCAATCTCTTTGGGATCTGTGGTGGAGTTTGGTTTTCCCATCTACTTTTACCTTGCTCATTCTTCACTTTAACCCTTTAATTCATCTAAAGTTAAAAAAAGCCCCCACTGTCCCAAAGAAAATCAATATTGTACTAAACTCATTATAATTTTTAAAAAATTCATTTTTCTTAATCATATTTTCTTTCTTTATATATATAAAATCACAACATGAGAAAGGTTTATTGTTTCATTAACAATTTCATGTTATTTACTATTTCTACTATAAATCAGTTGTAAATAACTTAGGGGTGTCAATTTTTGACTCAAACACGAACACGAACCCGAAAATAACACGATTCGTTGACACGAGAAATAAATAGGTCAAATTAAGGTTCAACACGAATAACACAATTAATGGGTACTGTAGATAAAAAATAATTATTTAATGAGTATTTTAGATAGAAAATAAGAATTTTATAATTTTTTATAATTTTTTAAATAGTATTATATTAGTTGTTGTCAAATTAAATAATTTTTTATTAACACGAATATTGACACGAACCCGACACGTACCAAAAGTGATATGACACGAAAATAACACGATTGAAAGTGACACGACACGAAACTGATACGATACGACATGTTTGACACCCCTAAAATAACTCAAACTAAATTTTGCAGTTTAAGTTCATTTTTTCAGTATAATATGAAAAGTTCACTTTTTTATTTATAGGGGTTAAAGCAAACAACAGATGAGTTCATTTTCAATTGGGTTTGTTTTAAGTTATTGATAAATTCATCCATTTTTTAGTCACATGTGCATCTTAGTATCTTTAATTCTACTGCACTCTTAACATGAATATGTTAGTTATTGGATGCTCATTAAATTTAGTTTTCGTGATAACTAATGTATCTTCATGTGCATGTATGAAACAGTTGAGGATAATAGAAATATGGATAAGACTTAGATTGATTTAACATAAAGGCTTTCAAGTGCAT